AGCTTTCCTATTTCTGATAGTAGGTCTGTCTTTTCCTAAATTGGATAACTTAGGTCCAGACGGCAAAGGTGGAAGTGAATGTTGTGGTGGTGGTTTTTTCTCTTCAGGTTCTATTTCATGACCAATAATATGGGACCTTTGCAATAGAAAGGGGGGAAACAGCCGGAAAAAATTAATTTTACTTTTATAAGCCAAACATGATTTTTAGGTCAAAATATGTTCAGATTTAGCATTAACTCATTTTTTTTTTTTTCCAGCCGTTTCCCCCTTTTCTATTGCAAAGGTCTCATATCATCGTCCTTTTTGCTTTCAATGGTTTCGACGGTTTTCTAAGACAAAAAAATGCTACTTTTAACTAATCTAATCATGTGATATTTTGAACCAATACCTAAAACCTACAAACCGAACTTTAGTGTGAATCACGATAAAATTTTTTGCTTATATTGGTATATAAATAACAAACAAAATATAATAAATTTGATGACGAATATATTATTGGGCCGGCGTAGCTTAGTGGTAGAGCGTCAGTCTTGTAAACTGAAGGTCGGTGGTTCAATCCCGCCCGTCGGCTTCTTTTTTATTAATAATAAAAAAATTTTTTTATTTTGTCAAAACTTATATAATAAATAATAAATAATATTAACGAGTAGAAAAAATATCGCGAAAAAAAAAAGTTCAGTAATAATGATAATGTATCACGCGATAAACTAGTTAACCATCATACTTTATTAATGTAATTTTATAATATTCGTGAATTATATATAATAAAGCTTTTTCTTAAAAGATATTTTTGAAAATTGTAATACTATTAACATTATTCATATATTTTAAAGAGAGTATCTAATGATTTTTACAGCGCGAGAAATAAATTAGATAATAGGATCTGCGGTACCACCAAACTCATTGATATTTGTAATTGTTGTGAGAATTAATCATCATTAACTTGGGTAGATATAATTTTCACATCTTCTTTTGGTCTAAAAAGACAATAATAATGAATCGATGAAGTAAACACTTTTTTAAATAATACAAAATGTAATGAATAATTATTAAATACCTATCGTCTCGATCAACGGTAACTTTACCTATACGTTTGACTATCTCGATACCATCACTTACCCTCCCAAATATCGCATGTTTCCCTTTTCAAGAAAAAAAAAAATAAACAAAAATTAAACCTTTTATAAAATTATCAAACAAACATTTACCTACCATCTAAATGAGGAGTAGGTGCTAACGTTATGAAAAACTTTTGGGTTTAATTAGAAGGGTATTTCATAAATATTTATGTTGTAACGACTAATAAATCATAAATTAAAAATCCAAGATCCTCACTTGACTTCCATTTGAATCTGGTCCAGCATTAGCCATGCTAATGATTCCAGCTCCCGTATGTTTTAAATCTGGATGTATTTCATCTTCAAATGTGCGACTAGATATCAGAATATTCAATTAAAAAGAACAAATCAAAAAAAAATATATATATATTTAATTGTCATTTACCCGTAAATTGAACTTCCTCCTCGTCCAGTTCCAGTTGGATCTCCTCCTTGTATCATGAAATCCTTGAAAATAAATCAATTCATCACATGATTTGTATTCATACGTTATTGATTAACCTTCGATTCGAAAAAATTTAATTTTGAACTTACTTCAATAATTCTATGAAACTTTTTATTTATAAAATAAATTTTAAATAAGATTTCTTAAATGACGAAGGGTAATAAAAAAAAAATTTAACATACTATGGTATTATTATAGTATCCACGCTTCGCCTAAATATCAAACAAATATTAACTATAATTTCAAACTATTAAAAATAAAAAATTAAAAAAAACTTACTAGTTCAAAAAAATTATCACAGGTTTTCTTTGCGTGATCATCATACAATTCTATTGTAATTCTTCCCTAATCAGAACAAAATAATCATTAATTATTATAAAAAAATTTTTTCACACAATAATTAATTTACATACCATTGAAGTATTGAGAATTACTGATCGAGGCATTTTAAAATTTTTTTTTTTTAAAAAAAATATTATATTGATGATCCATCCAAAATGGCTCAATTTTCCTAGAAAATCAAATTTACGGTAACACAATCGTGATATATAATTTTGATTGAAAAATTGGTTACGCTAGATTTTAACCAATAAATTTAGTTCACTAATGTTTAAAGGAAACGCGGCTGATGAGTGAATACAAAAGTGATCACATAATCCAAAATAGGAAATGATTTTTAAAAAATGAGAACGCCCAATAAAAAGATTAATCCAAAAATGGTATTGTTTTATTTCAATTGCCTGGCTTGATGACTATAATAACATTGTGGTATTTTTTATTCTCAATACATTGTATTTTTATTAAAGTCTTTTCAAGTTTTTGGTATACTTTAACTATTTTTTAGTGCTATAATATCATAATTCATTTTTTCTAATAATCTGAAATTTGAACAAATATTTTAACCAAATACCATTTTGGATTATTGTATATTCTTTATTTTTTCAGGTTCAATTCGGCAATTACAGTATAATATAATATCAAAAGAAAAGAATTTTCTTTTTATTTTTATTCTGATAAACCTAAGAGTAATTATACTTTTAAAATAAATTAATGTTCAATGTCAAATTCAAGACATTCTTTCTAAAAAAAGATAATAATTCATATTATTAACTCCTTATTTCTTCTTCATATAATTACTTAAAAAAGTTATATACAACTTCTGTAATGTTATTATTTATTATTATCAACCACATTAATCTTTAAAATAATAACATATTCTAAAATTTCTGTTTTAAAACTCATTAATAAATAAAAACATGTGAGTGACCAATTACAATTGTATTAATAATCTTAAAAATTAAAATAAATATTTTTCTCACTAATTTGTTAATTTGTCAATTCATATATACTATATAGATGATTTAGATTTAAACAGATAATTTATAATTCTCAAATTTTAATCAAATTAATCAGCTTTTAATGCAATACAGATCACAAATATAGTAATAAAAACTTCTATACAAACTTATTTACATTTAATATAAAATCTTTTTATTTCATTATTTTATTGTAAATTTGTAATATTAATTTGTATTTTATTGTTATATTTATTATATTTTATTTATTATATTATATTAATTTTCTTTTGATAAGGATTGTGAATTATATCTAAAATATTATAATTTCTTTTTAAAAATATTATTTTTAAAAAAATTCTAAACTGATATATTAGTAAAATTCTTGCTGAAAGAATGAGACTATGTAACATAAGATTTTCACATATTAGTTTTATTTTTTATTACACGTAATTTCATTTTTTCTAAAGCTTTGCAAATAGGATTAGAACTCTCACGTCATATTGCAGTATGGAGAAGTGCTGGCAAAAAAAGTGCTAAAAGATTTTTGTGATATAATAATACTTACCAATTCTAATATTGTGATGTAAATAAAAAAGAAATAAGTAAAATTTTTAGATTAAAACTTGGTTAGTTTTTTGAAATACACCATTATGATACTGTTCTATTTTCTTAGCTTCTTTCAATCATCACAGGTCTTTAGCAAGAAATATAAGTGATTTTTCAGGCTAATCCACCTGCATAAGCTGAAATGCTCCCAATTACCTACATCACGACTTAGTATGAGAAAAAAGATCTTTGTGCCTTTTTCTTCATATTGTTCAGAAAAATAAACAAGATATTTTGTTCTCTGGCTTTGAATATATGAAAATATGATGCAAATAATAAACAAAAAAATATCAAATCTTACCTCGCAACCAATAGTCTGATTAAAGTTCTGATAATTTTTGATCGTTGCTAACATCCTTTTCATGACACAATACTTATATAACAATTTGTAATTAATTAATAATAGCGTTTTAAAGTCTCTTTGACTGCATATAGTATCATGAATGAAATAGATCAAGAAAGGAAAATTTTGGCATTGATCCAGACCTGATGATTTACGTGATGTGATTTCAAGATTATGCAGTGTTTTCTCCACTGAGTCAGATGATAATTATGATTTTTGAAGGTTATAAGGCAGTGTTAGCATTTGGCCGTTTAGCCGTTTGGCCACTGATTTGGCCGATTGGTCAAAAATTAGGCTTGGCTGCGGCAAAATACCAACTATGTTATAAGGTAAGATATTTATTATTCATTGTATGCTTAATTACTAATCAAAGCCTACCTTTTTAGGATGAGCAGTTGAAATTCACATCAATCATCACAGATACTAAAAATAAGTTTGCTTGCCGATTCTATAGATTCAGATGCTATAAATTTTATAAAAAGAAATATAAAACAGAAAAGATAATTCTCAGAAACATAGTATCATCAGCATCATGCTTCATATTTATCCTTTTCTCGAACTTTCTCATAATACTAGTCCACATAAAGTTAGGTACCTATTCCTCATTCAAAGATCATCACACTTAATATAGATCTAGAATTTTAGATGATAAAACTTCGTCAAGGGATGAAGGAGGTTATAGGATAATTGTTGATTGGTTGAAGAGATAGAATAGAATAGAAACTTTGTCATGTATAAACAAAGTCTGATTTTTTGTATTTATTAATGATTAGACAATATATTGCAAATAAAATGTTAGGAATATAAAATTTTTAGAATGTGCATGCTAATATTTTTAATTTCCAAGCAAATACCAGAATATATTATTGAATAATGATGGTTAAAATATAATTCTGAAGATCTTGAAGGGGGTTCATATTTTGCGACGATCATAGTGATCAACTGCGGAGTATACTTAATGATAAAAGTCCTGGATGAAAAAATATTGCTAAACTTATACATTGACTAGTAAAACGATGATTAAACATGCTTGCTTTTCTGCAGTTGAAAAGTAAAGAAAGTTAAAATTTAAAATTATATTCTATGAAAAAGTTTTCTTTTTCATTCTGGCCCCTCAAAAATAAATTTAATTATATTTGATGCGCTATAATAATTTTTATTTTATTTAAGATTGCTTGTTCCAAAATCCGCCTTTCACATATACTCAAAGCCATAAATAGTATTCTATTTTTCTTCTGAAGTCTTTGAATAAATGAAAGAGGATTTGTATAATTATATGAAAAAAGGTATTAGAATTTTTGTGATGTAGACTAAGGATCAATTACCTTATTAATCGATGAAAAAAAAAGAAATGCTGAGTATCACGACATTCCTGGATAACATTGCAAATACAATCAATAAGAGATTTCATACTAATTACACAGGATATCAATGCAAAGAAAATCGTTTGAACAGTTTGTATCACGTGATTATCATATGATTGCCAATCTGAATTATAAACTAATTTTTTGCCGATCTGAATTATTCATATTATCACGTTGTTGCTTTGTCGCTATCCCTTGGTGGTATCCTACGCCAATATGATTCTGCTCTTTAGACGATGCTTGGAGTAGAATACTGTGGGTAAATCTCTATGATTTGTTACGTGTTTGTAATGGTTCTTAGTTGCCTCAGTCTAGGCACCTTTTCCAGAATATTATATTATCATTATAATTTCTATATATTGTAATCGTCTAACAGATTATTCTATTAGAATTATGTTAGTTAATATGACTAATAGTACCTACTTTAGATATAGATTTGATTACTATATAGATACCTATGTATATACTTCTGATCCTAAGGACTTGAGCATTCTAAATTATCTTAATTATCTAAGAGATAAATTGATGTTTACATCTGATAACAAGTAAGATATTCGAGATTCACTTGCAAGAACGGTCAAGAGAATTGTTGATTCTTCTATTATATAGGCTGGTGTGAAGAAACAAGTAAAAAAATTATTTGATAATATTAGTAATACTTTCAAAGAAAGGAAGTTATCAATTTTTTTTTACGAAAATGGACAAGGAGTAAGAATTGTTAGTTTTCATGATATAGGCCTGTATAGTATTTGAAATATTAATTTAATATTATAGAAGCAAAGTCAACGAAATCTTGAGAGGTTTTTTGATAAGAATAGTTCTGAATTACTAAAAAAGTCTGGTGATTTAAATACATTGAGACTTTTATCAAAAAATTTCTGACGAATTTGATGAAAAAGTAATATCAATGTTTTATTCTTTTCGCTTTAAGTTGAGGTGTTATTTTTAATCTATCAAATTTCTTGTTATATCACTTAGGTAAAATCAGCTTTTGATTGTAATTATGTTTTACGAAAAAGACGAAATGTTGGTTTTAATGAGAAATGAACAATAAAGGGGTAGTATCAAGTTAGAAATACTATGTCGTCTCCATTTGATGATTATAAACATGATACAGATCTTGTTGCTGAATAGGATGAGGATATTTATTACCAGGAACTGTTGTCAGTTAAGGTTTAAATTCTTTATCTTTTATTTATTTTATCATTACCTGTTACTTTATCTCTTAATAATAGACTTCATTAAGTTCAGCTATCAAAAACTTGTCAATAGCGAAAATGGTATTACAAGATATCAGATTTTATTTTTACCAGAAGATAATATCTATAATCCAATTAAGTGCTTGTTTACTAAAGAAGAGTGGACAACAATGGAATCAAATTGAAAAAGATTTATTTTTTATTTATTTTATTTGACTTTTACTTTTTTATTTTAAGTAGATATTATTTTTAGGCTGAAAAATGGATCATAGATTCGCTTTCCCAGATTGATATGAACATAAAATTACTTTTACAAAAATATGATAATTATGTAAAAGATGCTACTGTAAGATGTTATGTAGACTTAGAAAAATTAGAGGGCGTCATTTGTAAAAGCCCATTTGAAGTTCAGCACTTGTATCTGTTCGAAAGAGACTATTTTCTTCGATGGTACAAACAGAATATAATGCATTGTAAGAAAATTTAAACGTATTCTATAATTTTTCATTTAATTAATTATACCAATACATATAATTAGGTAACATATTGTATCTTCAGACACATTCAGCCCTCTATGATCTGGATTCATCTGAATATGCGTATAGAAGCTGTATTGTAGATTAAATTTGGGAGGGACTTTCTATGATATAAATGCTATAGTTCAGTGATGTGCATTTTATGCTTCCAATAGTATAAATTTGATTGGAAGCTTCCAATCCAAATGAATTTATTAGAGAATTATGCTTCCAACCCTTCCAAAAGTACTTCCAAGAGTACTTTCAATCTTCCAAATGCATATCACTACCATAGTAATAACGAAGACATAAGTAATTCATTTTAAGTTGACTTTCTAAGAAGGCTTTATATTTCTATGTATTTATCTCAACTTCTGGAAATTGGTATCATGATGCTATTCTAGTCATGAAGGTCGAAAGCAAGTTGGTTTGAGTAGCATTTGATGACAAGAAATTTAATGATGATAAAGAAAAATGCTCAAAGGTAAAAAGTATAACCTTAATATAACCTTAATTATATTTATTAAAATCACTAATAGAATTATTTTTATCTATAGCTATACGATTGGCTCTTTTTAACCTTCAAAAATCATTATCTAAAAATTCTCCAGGTCTCGAAGATTTGGAAACTTTTGGAATACTTGTAAATAGTATGTAATGATTTAGCTTATTAAGAACAAATTTTTGTTTATTAATTGAAAATATGATTAGAAAAGAAATTTTTTATATATTCAATGCATTGGGTGGACGGGATATATCTCGTTGATCAATTTAATGGATTTACAATTTCTAATTTATCATTGAATTTAAATAACCTATCTGATATCATTCTAATAATGATCAAATTTAAGGTAAAAATCTTATCATTTATTCGATTGTTACTTTAAAAGCAATATTAACGTATTTTTTATTATATCATTAGAACTGTATCATGAAATTGCAGGCCCACATAGAATTTTTATATTAATTACATGGCCACATATGATAATTATACTTTGGCCATAGAATAATTTGCAACAGCAAAGTTTAATTATCTGAACTGGATAATTATAACGTAACTTCACAGGTAATCGCTAATAACTCGTGAAGTTATTATCAAAAATTGAACAAAATTTAAACATGGTAGATCTCAACATACAAATGATTCTATTATCTATGCATCATCATTAAAAGCTACTGAGAATGATTCACGTGTTAAAAAAACATAAAGTAAATTGGCAGATTTAATTTTGGGATAATATATATTGGTATAAATAGTTTATACAAATAAATAATTTGCATCAATCATATTTTTGTTCGCTTATTATTAGACAAGGTTAGATGAAAATAAAGAGGAAATTAGTATCAAACTGAGTAAAGATAGCGCTACAATTAGTTGCAACCAGTGATAAATAAGCATCACAGGGTTGCAACTAATTGCGATATTAAATTATCAAATAGTTGCAACTGGTGACAAATAAGCATCACATAGTTGCAGCGCCATTTTTAAATAATTAATAATTATAAAAATCAAACTGGCCAAAAAAGAAAAAAGTAATAAATAGTAGAAATTTGTTAAAACATATAGCATATGGACACAATAAAATAAATTAATTCTTTTTGATTTATTAATCAATAAAGAATAGTATTCTTTGTGAACTAATATTTTTTTTATTTGAATACAACTGCTTTCTATATAAAACAATGCTGAACACTCAATTCACAATTGATTTACTGAAGAAATTAAATTCCAGATTCTTAGCCAAATTGATAACAGAAAAGAAAATGCTGAAATTACTAGTATCAGAGATGAGAATAATTCCTGAGCTTAAAAAGAAATTTGCTGAAACTGAAAATACTAAGATAAGACAAGATTTAAAAATTATACAGTACTTAAGAAAAGTAAAATAAATACTGCCAATATTATTACTAAAAATGCTAAAAGAATTCACTGTCTTAAAAATTATAATATATGCTCTAATTATTTTTTATTTCAATTATAAGCAAGAAGACAGAAAACATTAAATATACATATATTGAAATAATAGAAAGTAAGAAAATGCTCCAAAAATCGTCTACTTTCAAGAGTAAATGTATGCTGATTTTCATAACCTTGAAATACTTTTGTTGAATTACCTATAAAGTCAAAATATTTCAATAATTCTAAATAATGATATATATCAAGCTTTATCTATGCAGTCTTAATTTAAAATTCCCTAAAGTAGACTATAAATATATGCTTTATAGTTTTGTATTTAAAACTTATTCACTATCATCTTATAAGAAGTATTATCCCAATAAACAATGTAATTTTGATTAAAATGGTGTTAAATTAAGCATAATTAGAATGAGAAATAGAAGTAAATTATATAGTCTGATGAGTTTCAGTTTACTTTGTTTAAATCAGATAAATAGGTAAAGATATAGAAAAAAGTAGAAGAAGCTTATAATAATAGTTGTATTAAACTTACTTTTAAGTTTGATGGAAGATCTGTTATGTTTTAAGGTTATTTTAGCTAGTATAGAATTGAATGTTAATAATATTTAAAGAAAATATGAATTCTGATGTATATGTTAATATTCTTGCAAATCATTTAATATTATAGATTCACAATAATTCAAATATAATATTTTAACAAGACTGAGCCTCATGTTATACATTTTTATATATAGTTTGGTAGATAGCAACACATGAAATTTCAGTTTTAGATTAGATAACATAAAGTTCAGATTTAAAGTTAATTAAATATCTATAAGAGTATTTAAATTATTAAATATAAAAAAAAAATCTTTACTTAAATCTAAACAAAAATTAATTAGCATTGCAAAAAAAAAATGAGCAAAAATTAAAATAGAAGTATTGTATTATTTAATTTTAAATACGTTTAACTATATTAAAAGTGATATTAAAACTAAAGGTGAATATACTAAATATTAAACTTCAAACTTCTTAAATTTTAACTGATAAAATAAAAATATAGATTTTATTGATATTATTTTTTTTTTTAGATTAAATAATAAAAAACATTAAATTCAATTTTTTTAATATCATTAATTTTTTCAATCATCATTTATCATATAATTGATTTCATATCTCACTCTAATTATATTTTATTTAAACAATTTCTTTTTTTACTTCTGTTATTTACTTACTTACTATAAAAGTTTCTTGATTGTAAAAATGTTTATATAATAGAATAAAATTTAAAAAATTTAAAAATAATACTTTTATTATATATAAGACTTAAAATAAATCAGAAATAATTTATTAATACATTAAATCAAAATGAAATTATCAAAATAGTATATATTAAATTAAATTATTTTAAAAGAAAATTGTTTAATTATTTAATAATATTAAAAAGAAAAATAGTTAATGATTTATTATAGCAATTTAAATAAATTATCCTTATAAATAATTTCATTTAGACTATCAGCTGAATATTTTTTTAATATAAGTTTATAATATCAACTTGTAAATATTTGATATTATTTAAAAAAGAAGAAATATATAATGTTAAATTATAAAATACTAATTTTATCTAGAAATTTATGATTATATAATATTAGATTATCATATTTTAGATCATTTTGTATTAGTAAACTATTAAATTTTAATTTGATAAAATATAAAGCTATTAATCTAATTAATAAAAATACGATTTATAAAAATAGAATTAAATAAATCAAATATTTTTAGCATAAATTTTATGATTAAAATATAAAATATATCAGTTATATTTCCTTTTGAATTTATTTAATTTTGATATATTTTAACTGATTTTTAATATATATTAATTAGTTATAAATAAAATAAATCAAATATTTGTTAAATCTTAATATATACTAAGAAGATAAGTTAATTATTAGCTAATTTTTGATGTATACTAATCAGTTATAAATAAGATAGATTAAATATTAACCAGTTTTTAATGTATGCCAGTCAGTTAGATTAAATTTTAGCTAATATTTACGATTTACTAATTTTAGGCTGATTTATTACAATTTTATTTTTTTTTGATTTTAACTAATGTAAATAATTAAAAAAAAATAAAAATAATTCAAAATTTGTAAAGATATATTAAATAATTAAAAAAAATTAAAAATTAAAAAAATAAAAAAATTAATTCAAAATTCATAAGGTTATAGTGAATAATTAAAAAAAATAAAAAAATAATTCAAAATTTGCAAATAATATTAAATTCATTAAAATATATTAAAATTTTACATATTTTTTTCATTATAATAGCAATCTTAATATTATTTAAAAAAAATTGCTAATTCTTCTTAATTATATATTTAAATTTGCATTAAAAATATGCAATTTATAAACTTTTAAAAGTATTACTCTATAAATGTTATATAATATGAATACTTTGTAATAGAAAAAAATAAATTACTAAAAATAATTTTTTTAAGTTAATGTTAAATCTGAATTTATTTTACTAAAAAATAATATTTAACTTATAAAGTAAAAAAAATTTTTTTGATCATTTCCTCTTTTTTTATTATAAAATATTTATAAATATATTTTTATTATTACAGTTTATAATATTTATATAATAAATCATAATAATATTATAATTAAAATATATTATAAGATTTATAATTTATAATTATTAAACTATTAAGAGTAAATTAATAATTTTAAATTTAAAAACTTATATAATTTAATGATTTTATTTAAAAAAATTTTAACAAAAATAGCTATTATCTCTTAAATTGTTAGATAAGCAAATTTGCTTATAAATTTGCTTATAAAAATTAGGAAAAGATTAGCAAAATATATTAATTGTTAAATAGGTAAATTTGTTTACAAATTTTAAGATCAGTAAAATACATAATTATCAGATAAGTAAATTTATCTATAAATTTTTTAGAAAAAATTGTTAGACAAGCGAGTTAATTTAAAAATTAAAATTCTTTTTTTATATAAATTTTTAAAAATCTATTAGAAAAATTTAATTATAAAAAAATATATAAATATTTTTTTAAAATGATATCTAATTTATTTAATTTATTAAACAAGTTCTTATTAGATAATAAAATTTATATTTGTCATTTTACTTATAAATGAGATTTAGAATATTTAAAAGAGAATTTAGATAAATTAATTGTAAAAATAATAACAAAAATAAAGGCAAAAAAAAATCTGAATTAACTTATAAATTATTGTTAGAATTTTTACTTTTTTAACATGTTTATCAATTACATAATGTTTTATTAATTTTTTTCTAATGAATTAAATTTTATAAAAATTCTACTTCTTACTTAATTTTTAGTTTAAATATTATTATTAAATACAAATATTTATATTGCAATTTAAGGAGTAAAGCAAAATATTAACTAATATGAAAAAAAGTAGAAATTGGATTAATTTGATTATCAATAAATTAAAAATACGATTAGTATTTGTTATATATATAAGAATATTTAAATTTTTAGCTATTAATAATTATTATATAAATAATAATTTTTATTCTTTACATAAATTTACTAAAATAATATCATTATTCTGTTTCAATAAGTAAGTTTAATAATAATTATTTTTTTTTAAAATATAATTAAATAAATAAATTATTTTTTAGATAAAATGTTATTTATATATTTTGGATTATACTAAGTCATTTCCTGATTAATTCTCAAAAGTTGATCTACTTATATCATATGGAAGGCGGTCAATAGAAAAAGGAGAAATCTACAAATTTTAAGTAATTTTAGTTATTAAACTAGTTTTGTTCACATAATCATGATCAGCAAAGTAAGCCAATAAAAAAATTTTTTACTAAAAAGTGGATTTTCCCCTTTTCTACTGACCGCCCCCATATATTAAAAATATTTTAAAGTAATTTTATATACTAACATTAGATAATATTATTAATGAAATAATTACACAATTCTTAGAATGAAGTGCACATACTTTATAAACTTACTTCTAAAGGATATAAAATTTTATCATTAAGTGATTTAAGTTTCATTTATATATTAATATTTATATCTCATATTAAGAAATTTAATATTAATCTAATCTCAATTGTTAATAAAACTGATTTAAAATATATCATTTAGTTAAATAATTATCATTAAGATATACTTTAATATTTATATAGATAATAATATTTTAAGTGTAACTTTATTTAATTTTTTTGCAAAAAGGGTTTTAGAGCTTATAAAATAATAAAGATTAATACTGTAAATTTTTCTTTAATTTTAAAGAAAGAAAAGGAAAAAATTTTGAAATGGGATCATTTAATTGACAATAGAGAATGTGTTAACTTTATTATAGATTAATAATAAATTAGTAATAATACTAATAATAATATATATGATTGATAAAGAAAATTCTAAAATTAAAAAAGAGCATAGAAAATCATGTAAAACAAGTATTAATAGCAATAAAGTAAAATCTGTTTTTGAAAATAACATTTAAAATATTCTATCTATTTTATTAGTAATTGATAATTATATTATAAAGTAGAAGGAATAGATATTATAGATCAATTAAAAAGTTATTATTTAATATACTTAATTATTTTTATAATATAAGTTTCTTTATTTTTTAGTTATTAGATATCACTATTATCAATTTATATTTGATTTATAAATAATTAAATATTATAAATGATTTTAAATATTTAAATTATTATTAATATAAAATCTAATTAAAGATACTTTAAATATTCTATTAAAAAGAAATTTTTATAATAACAAAAAGAATAAAATAAAGATAATAAAAAAAAATTTAGGTTGTTTTAAAATTTGAATTATCAGTATACAAATTTATTGATAAAGATTATTATCCTAAATATAGTGATAAAAGAGATGA